CCAACTTGACGGGTGGTCATGCGGCCTGTGGGTGACGAGGTGGGTTGGTCGAGCGCGCCCTGCGCGAGATCCGCGGCGAGGGCCGCCTGCCTCCGAGCACCATCCAGGACATCTACTCGCGAGGCAACGAGTGGATCCAGGAGCTGCTAGATGCGAGCGACAACGCTGCCGCCCAGGCCAAGGCAAAGGGCAAGGCCAAACCCAAGGGCAAGGCCAAGAGCAAGGCCGAGGATCCGCTGGAGGCCGAGCCCAAGCACGCCACCCTCGAGGCAGCCCTGCAAGCGGCCAAGGATTGCAAGAAATGCGAGATGCTCAAGGACGGGTCCAAAGGATGCAGGGCGTGCATGGGTGAGCATTTCGAGGCGGTGCGTAAGTGGGGTTTCCTTGCGAGGGCAGCCAAGGAGTTCTATAGCAAGATTATGAGCATGCGACTGCGAGCAGTCTCAGCTGTTCCGAGCTTCTGCGCGAGACCCCAGCGAAGGAAAACACATGATTCCGAGGATGTCTCAAGCGAAATAAGCAATTCTTCGAGGATACATCAAGCGAGACAAACAATTATTTGAAGGATGTCTCAAGCGAAATAAGCAATTCTTCGACGATGTCCCAGGCGAAACCAACAATTATTTCGAGGATGTCTCAAGCGAATCAGACAATCAGTTCGAGGATGTCTCAGGCGAAACAAGCAATTCGCTGAGGACGTCCCAGGCAAAACCAACATTTATTTAGAGGGTGCCTCGAGCGAAACGAGAGATTCGCCGAGGATGTCTCAAGCGAAACAAGGAATTATTTCTTTGAGGACGTCTCAAGCGAAACAAGCAAGACTGATATCCGTAGTCACTTGTTGGCTCAAGATTCCGAGCTTTCCAACAGTTTCACAAGCCAAGACCCAAGCCGACGCGACAGAGCGCCACGGCTCCGAGTATCGAGGATGTATTTGCCGAGCTTATTGGACCTGGATGAGATGCCCGAGATAAGCACGCAGCTGCCGCTCGAGGCACCCAAGGAGAGCGAGAAGCGCGAGGACCCCAAGAAGGAGGAGAAGCCGCTCCAGGACTCCAAGGGGAGCGGGAACGAGAATCCGCTCGAGGACGTCAAGAGCCAGAAGCGCACCAGCGAGCTGGAGGAGATCCCGAGCAGCAGCGACAACGCGGAGAAGCGAGCCTACCAGAAAGCCAAGCGCCGCCAGTCCGCACCGCAGCCAGAGGACGAGGAGCCCGAGGACGACGAGCCCGAGGACGACAGCGGCAAGCGCTCGAAGCTTGAGCCCGAGCCTGTTAGAGGCGCTCTCCGAGCGGCTCCAGCGCAAGTGGGCGCTCGAGGGTGCGCCCTAGCCTTAGTAGGTTTTTCGACGGTGCGCTGGCGCCGAGAAGACAAATTCAAGCGATGTTTCGATCGAGCGCCTTAGGATCTCAAGATTCTCAAGCGAAACGAGCGTGTCCTGGAGGATGTTTCCAGCGAGATCAGCAAAGGTTGCAACGAGAAATTTGTCGAGGATGCCCCAAGCGAAACAAGCAATGACTTCGAGGATGTCTCAAGCGAAACGAGAGATTTGTCGAGGATGCCTCAAGCGAAACAAGCAATGATTTCGAGGATGTCTCAAGCGAAATAAGCAATACTTTGAAGATGTCTCTAGCGAAACAGACAACTATTGCGAGGGTGTCTCAAGCGGAGCAAGAAATTCGTTGAGGATGTCTCAACCGAGACAAATCATCGTTGAGGATGTATCGCGCAGGACCAAAGACCAAGGATCCTCAACATATATTTTGCTTTTTCCTCTTGATATCCCTTTATGCTGGCTCTGGCGGACAACATTTATTAGCTCCCCGACAACCCCGAACTTTATTATCCCTGGGGGCTTATTCTCGAGGGTTCATGGTTAAATATTTCCCCTGGGAGCTCCAAGAGGCCCCAGGAAACCCTAGGTGGGGTTCGGGAGGCCACAGGGGGCCCAGGAGGAAACCCCAGAAGGCCCCAGGAGTCACCAGGAGGCCGCAGGACGCCCAGGACAGGCCCCGGGGGTCTCCAGGAGGTTCCCAGGAAACCCCAGGAGGCCGCCTATCAGAACGTGTCAAGTTAATGCGCATCCGGTGTCGATTCGTTGATTATTCCTGCTCTTGTGCCCCCCCCCCCCATCCATTTGGAGAGGCCCAAACGGCCACAGGTTTGATATCCCCCCTGGGAGCCCCAAGAGGCTTCAGGAAGCCCCAGGTGGGTCACGGAAGCCACAGGAGGCCCGGGAGGAAGCCCCAGGAGGTCCCCAGGAGGCCCCAGGAGTCACCAGGAGGCCGCAGGACGCCCAGGACAGACCCCAGGGGTCTCCAGGAGATTCCCAGGAGGTTCCCAGGAAACCCCAGGAGGCCGCCTATCAGAACGTGTCAAGTTAATACGCATCCGGTGTCGATTCGTTGATTATTCCTGCTCTTGTGCCCCCCCCCATCCATTTGGAGAGGCCCAAACGGCCACAGGTTAAATATCCCCCCTGGGGGCCCCAAGAGGCTTCATGAAGCCCCAGGTGGGGACCAGGAGGCCACAGGGGGCCCAGGAGGAAACCCCAGGAGGTCACCAGGAGGTCCCAGGAGGCCGCAGGAGGCCGCAGCGACGGCTCCAGACCCCTTGAAGGCGCTCCCAAAGAGTTCCAAAACCGTTCACCAGATGGTTCCAATAGGCAAAATAATTTCGATTTTCTATTGTTTTTCGATGTTATTTGATTCTTCGCCTTTTCGAGTTTGCGACGCTTCAGGCGTGTCCGGGAATGCCCCAAGACCGTGCCAAAACGGCCCAGGAGACCTCCATGACTGCCCCAGGTCAGCTCCACAGTGCCCCAGGACGGCTCCAGGAGGATCGGGCCGGGCGAAAGGGGGGGATTGGGAAAGGGGGGGTTGCGAAATTTGCTGCATGCAGCTGGTTTCGGCCCCACCGAGGGGCCCATTCCTCGATACATAGCCGCCTCCGGCGCTGGGAGGCGCCGGGAAAATCAGCTACGTGAGCTGATTCTCAAACCCCCCCTTTGCTATCCCCCCCTTTCGCCCGACCCGAGAGGAGCCCGGGGCCCCGGGCCGGAACCTCTCAACCGCAGAGGGGGGCCCCGGGGTCCTTGGGCGGGCCCTGACGCTCGCAAAATGCTATGGAGACGCCCCAACATTGGTGGGCGTGTTTTCCACCACCACCACCATCAGTTGGAGGGGGGGTCCTCCTCCTCCTCCTCCTCCCTCCTCCTCCTCCTCCTCCTCCTCCTCCTCCTCCTCCTCCTCCTCCTCCTCCCCCCCTCCAACTTATGGTGGTGGTGGTGGAAAACAGGCTCATCAAACATCGATCCATGACGCCCGACACGTTCCCTTGCCAGCCGATTAGGCTTCCAAGAGGCCCCAAGAGGCCGCCAAAACGACACAGGAGGCCCCCCAGAGACGCCTGCCACGAGGGGTGTAGAAGTCGCTGGTTTCCCATGGTTGTTTAAAGGGTTTGTGTTTTTCGCCTTTTCGCCTGTCCGACCCAAGAGAGCCCAGGCCGGCGCCAAGACGGCACAAGATACGCCCAAGACGGCCCAAGAGCGCCACAAAACTACCCCAGAGATGCCAGCTCCCCGCCCCAGAGACCCCTGGAGGCCCCCCAAGAGGCGTCAAACGGCCCAAGAAGCCGCCAAACCGCCCCACGAAGTTTCCAAGAGGCCTCGCAAGACGGCCGTAAAAGGGCAAAATTGTTTATTTCCACAGGGTTACTGAAGGATTTCGGCATCTGTTGTTCTTCGGCCCAAGAAGCCTCCTAGACGGCCCAAGGCACGACCCAGGCGGCCCAGAGGGCCCCAAGACGACCCCAAGAGGGGTCTAAGACGGGACCCCAGCTTTCGAAGATGCGAACTTCCCGCCCCAAGAGGCCCCCACGAGGCCCTCTATTAGGCGTCAAACGGCCTAAGGAGCCGCCCAGCCGCCCCAAGAGGCGTCCAAGAGGCCTCACAAGACAGCGGTGAAAAGGCAAAATCGTAGATTTTCCATTAGTGTTTGAAGGATGTCGGCCTTGTCGATGTTTCGCGTGTCTGGCGCTCCAAGCTGGCCCAAGAGGCCCCCAAGACCGCCACAAGACGGCCCAAAAGGCTTCCTGGAGAGCTCCGTGACGGCCCAAGAGGGCCCCAAGACGGCCCAAGCTTGGCAAGTCGCGCCCACGACGTCCCAAGAGGGCCCCAAGACGACCGCAAGAGGGGTCCAAGACGGGACCCTGGATTTGAAAATTCGAGCTTCCCGCCCCAAGAGGCCCCAAGGAGCCACCGAAATGCTCCCAAACAGCTCCAAGAGGCGTCAAAGAGGAAGCCCCCTCCATATGGTGTCCGCATTTGTTGGTAATCCGAGCGGGTCATCGGGATCATGTAACTGTCGTCACTTTTAAGTTCGTCTGGATTGAATATGGAGGGCGTCTCAGGCGGGAGCTTCGTCTGTGAGTGAATTGCGAGGAGGTCTCAGGCGGGGGCCCCCTCCTGGGGTCCACACTTCATGTCGGCAGTCATCGGGAGTAATGTCGGGCTCATCTCAGGCAGAAGCTTCCTGTAAATTGTCGTCACTTTCGGCTCCTCTGGATTCCGAATATGGAGGAAGTCTCAGGCAGAAGCTTCGTCTGCGAGTAAATTGTCGAGGAAGTCTCATTCGCGCGAGAGGTCCATGCCTCCCTATGGGATCCGCATTTCGTGCTGGTAACCAGAGCGGGTCATCGGAACCCTGTGCGGTAATTGTCGTCATTTTTCGGCTCCTCGGGATTGAATATGGAGGAATTGCGAGGAAGCTTCATGCAGGGGGTGGGGCCTGCGTATGGGTCCCGCACTTCATGTTTTGCCTGCATCATAGGTGTTTTTTGTTTGGGGGGCATCCCCGTGCAGTCGTCGTCCTTCACGCCCTTCCTCTTCACGCACTCACACACCGTCATCATCAACATCATAATCACCATCATCATCATCATCATCATCATCATCATCATCATCATCATCATCATCATCATCATCATCATCATCATCATCATCCGTAGCCATTTTGGCTCAAGCCATTTTGGCTCAAGTCGCTCATTGGACCTCAGACGGCGGGATCAAGTGACGGCCAGGTGTTCCCTCGCACCCAATGTATATTGCGTATTTCGCACGGGTGGTCTTTACAATTGTGCCATCATGTTTAGCTGTCAGTCAGGTGCACGAGTTGGCAGACTTGTGCTCCTTATCGTTAGAGGAGGTTCACGAATGGGTTTCTAGTCTCAAAAGTCTGAATGTGCTCCCAAGTGGCTCGCCTGAAATTGTATTTGAGGAGCCCGTCGCCAGTCTTATGCAGCCTCCAGTCAAAGCGTTGAGTGAAAGTGGTTACCATCACCTTGCAAAGAAACAGAAGAACCCCGATCTCTTACGGAAGCCTAACGTGGAGACAGGGGTGACGAGGAAAGTGTTAGTAATGATCGAGAATGGAATCATGCTTCCTTGGGGGCTGGTTGTCAATATGACGCATCGGTTTGAGCTTGGATATTTTAATGAGCTGCAATGTCTTGAATACGGACCGCGGTTAGGAATTAATCGGGGTACGTGCAGGAGTCGGCCTCCCGACATGTTGTCGTACCTGAAACCTGCAAAGTCGGGCATGCAGTTCAGGTGCAATCATGCTGGCAGCATCGTCAGCGTTGCTGAATCAATGTACCACGACTTTCACCATTTTGTTGTATACACTTTACCGCGATTGCTATGGCCAGCAGTCCAGGAGATACAGTACCCTGCTGAAGTGCTCTGGAGATTCAGACGTGAGCCATACCTCAAACATTGGTTGGATGCACTTGGCCTGTCATGGAGGAGCTTCATTACGTTCTATGGGGACGCGGGCTTGCTCTTCAATACGTTATACATGCCGCTCTGGCTAGGCTTCGACCACGAACTTACAGACGATTGCCCCGCGTTCGTGCCTGAGCAAGATTTGCGCACATTGCAGCGTTCTGTCCCAGATCGTGTTGTTCAGGTTGCGACAGATTCATCACCGTACTTCTTATTACTGGACCGCCACGAAACATCTCGACGAAAATTGAAACAGTGGGTTCAAGTCTTGAATATTGCAATGGACGCAGTGAATGCTCATCCGGCAAGCGACATGCAGGTCGCAAATCTTCGGAGTGCCCCTCAAGATGATAAGCAAGCCTATGAGTTGACCATTGCGAAGAGAGCTCCACAGAAGGGCGAGTCGATCAATCCAGGGAAACATGTTGAGTTTCCGGGGTATGTGTGCATGAGGTCATATTATTGTTCATGTCCGCGGGAATACATGTTGAGTTTCCGGGGTATGAGTGCAGCGTAGACCGTAGCCCGCCCAAATCCTGCAAGACGTCTATGTTTTGGAATGTCGGACCCGAGCTGCAGTGGAGACTTCGTAGTAGTAGTAGTAGTAGTAGTAGTAGTAGTAGTAGTAGTAGTGTAGTAGTAGTAGTACTAGTAGTAGTAGTAGTAGTAGTAGTAGTAGTAGTAGTAGTAGTCGTAGTAGTAGTAGTAGTAGTAGTAGTAGTAGTAGTAGTAGTAGTAGTAGTAGTAGTAGTAGTAGTAGTAGTAGTAGTAGTCTAGTACTAGTGGTAGTAGTAGAAGTAGTCGTAGTCGTAGTCGCAGTAGTCGTAGTCGTAGTCGTAGTCGTAGTCGTAGTAGTAGTAGTAGTAGTAGTAGTAGTAGTAGTAGTAGTAGTAGTAGTAGACTTACTTCATAATATGATCAACTGATTCGGAAATGAAGCATCGGAGACCGCAACACGGAATTGCTCAGGCATTCAAGAGGCCATGTTTTTCATACACACGTCTACGGAGTCTCAATTGAGTGTCAAGCTTTGTCTTACCCACAGCCTTTTTGGGGTCTGCAATGCTGATGACGCCATTGGGATCACCAGTCGTTTCAAGGAGAAAAAGGAGGAGAGTGGCTCAGCAAACTCTCCAACCGAGACAGCCCCAGCCGAGTCGCCAGCTGATGCTGCAACCCCAGTCGTTGAAAGCATTGCCCCAAGCGGCGCCGCCGCCCCGGGACAGCGAACTCAGCAATGATCTCGCCCGGCATCACGACCGAGGTACCAGCGTGGCAGGCAGTCTCATCGGGCCGCCCCCCATGCACCTGCGTCTGCCGGCTCAGCCGCGTCAGGCACCAATGATGGCTGGATCGATTATGACAGGATCCTGTCGTGGGCAGACGAACCCTGGACTGATGGGCCCATCCCCGAAAGACTGGCTGCAGAGCCGGTTGGCGGCCGCGCGCGCGATGGTGGCGGCCCCGGGCCGGCCATGGGCGGCGCCTACGACTCGACCGTCGACTACGAAGACAAGACCGAGAATGGAGAAATCCAAGGATGGTATGCACATCTATCCCGGCATCATCAAGTCACCGTTCACAACGAAACGTGGCAATGGTTTAGCGTGGACGAATGCTACGACAAGTTCCAGCGTGACCCTCGGATGCCTAGCACGTTGCCAGTGCTTCCCCCGCCGCCTACGCCGAAGGCGAGACCGCCGGAGAAGGGCCAGGGCAAGAGTGAGCCAAGTGGCTGGAGCTCGAGCAGAAGAGAGGACAGCTCCTCCAGTGACCAGAACCAGTGGCGCTGGAGCAACAGCGATCCCTGGGATGACTCTCGTGAATGGAGAGGTCGCTGGAGAAGGTGACGCTGCGCAATGGCACCAGTACGACAAAGTCGATGCTGGTCCGCACTACTTCGTGGAGCGGGTGCACCAGGTGTGCATGGGCATTGAGGCCTGAGCTGGAAATATTTGCTCCGGCGGGGGACGTCGGGCTTCTTCGGTTTTCCGCCCCCTGGCAACCACCGTTGAGCGGTAAAATGCTTTTGGGGTTCGCTCCGTTGGCTGCGCACATGTACAGGCCAGGTGGGCTGGGGGCCGGGGCGGCTCTACGGACCTCGCCACGGGGAGAGTCAATGCACCCCTTCCGCACCACCAATCTTTCGCCCAGCCTGCTCTCTCTCCTTGCCCGCGCTGTCCGCCTGCTGTACTGACTGACTACTTCTGCTCCCGCAGCTATATACCTTGGCTTCAGGGAAACGGAAAAGGAGCGAGCCTGCGGCGCGCGCGCGTGCGTCGGCTGGCGGGCCGGCCTCCTCCCTGCAGCGCTACCTTCGCGTTTGTTTGACGGCGCTATCTTTTCTTGCCCATGTCATATGCGGAGCCCACTGATCATGATGTATCATCGGAACATTTCGCAGGGAATATGAATATCCAGGCAAAAGACTCATTCCTCCCTTTGTCCTTTTGTTCCTCCTCCTCCCCCTCCTCATCCTCCCCTTCCCCCTCCTCCGTATCGAGCGTCAGTCTTCGCTCCTCGGCCTCAGTGTCCCGCCCTCGTTCTCGCCCTCGCGTCCCCCCTCGCCCCAGGCCCTTTCGCTCCCGCCGTCGCTCCCGCCGTCGCCCCCGCCGTCGCTCCTGCCCGGCGTTGCGGGGTAGTCGTGGCGGCCCGCGCTCTTCCCTCCCAGGGCCCCGGCGTCGGGCCGCGGGGCTGTCTGATTGCGGCTCGGGGTTTGCAGGGCCGCAGTCTCAGTTCAAGGGAGGAAGAATTGCCCCGACCTCCATGATTGGCGTTTGCTCATCGGCCCTGGGCGTTCACGAAACAGCCCTGCCCTGTTCGACTCCACCTTTGGATGCGTTTGCGAAACACTTTTCTCGTCGGGGTGCTCAGTGTTCTCTAACAGTGGCCCGCGTTACGAACATATCCAGCAAACAACTTCCCGTTCGACTCAAATTGGCTTGCCCAGAGCGTGCGCCCGCTTCGATCCGGCGACGCGGCGCGATGCGGCGCGATCGTTCGACCCCATCCACTCGGAATCCATCCAGGAGGCCTCTATGGAGGCCGATGGAGGCTGAGAGATCCGGGCCCCGACTTTTTGGCACGCCGCAGCGCGCGGCAGAGGCAGTCCGCGCGCACGTCTGGGCACGAGGCCGGGGCACGGAGTCGCGCATGAACCCGCACGCAAGAGCAGAGGAAGGGGGGGAAAGGGGGCGACCGCGGAGGAGGGGGCCGAGGCGCGGGGCATCCTGCGGGCTGGGATCCGCCCCAAGATTTATAGTGTTCCAACCTACTTTTTAGCCTTGATCACCAAATAATTTCGACCACCAAGAAAGTACCCCACAGACTCGAGGGTCTTCGCGGGTCGGGCCCTGGGAGACACTGTTGCGACACTGTTTCGACACTTGTCCGGGTGCTCGAAATTATTTGGGGGATGTGGTCTTTAAGTACGATGGGAGCAGCATGACTCAAGACGGCCTTCTGGGGGGGGCGGTCATCTTGGCTTAAGGTGAGCGTTTCGATTGCATCGGAACCATACATCAACTGAACACTTCCTTTTCACATCCAGTGCTACAGCTCCAGGCCCTCGTCGGTCGGGACAACGATGGCTCGCAAGCTGTTTTTCACGACGGCATCTGCGCTCGCTTCCATGGTTGGCGCTGACTCTCAGCTCGTGCAGGTGTTCACACACGGGCTGGGCGTGTCAGATCCGGCAGATCCCGCCGCGGACCCGACGCCGGCTCCGACGTGCGCTGACTCGACATATACAATAACATATGTCATGTCAGGCTCGACTCACAAACCAACAACATTCACGTATACGGGACCGAGTGGGCTTTCATTTGACAATTTCGCTACGTGCGCCAACACAAGTTCCGCATCTTGTACGATGGCAGCGTCCACGGCAAATTTTTGCCAGTCCAAACAGAGAGTCGACGTTCGGGTCCTCAGGCGAACGGATACCAACGAGATAATCAGAGCGGGCACATGTTGCAGCACCAAACGAAATTGGGTGACTGCAATGTCGTCACAGTGCGCTGTTGCAACGCCCACCCCGACCAACACTTGCCTGACGCCCTCCCCCACGCCTATCCCGGCCCCGACGCCCAGCCCAACGCCGTCGCCGACTGAGGCCCCGACGAGCAGCCCGACCTCGTCCCCGACGCCGAGTCCGACGAGCATTCCGACGAGCAGCCCGACCTCCAGTCCGACCTCGTCCCCGACGCCCAGCCCGACGCCGTCGCCGACTGAGGCCCCGACGAGCAGCCCGACCTCGTCCCCGACGCCAAGTCCGACGAGCAGCCCGACCTCCAGTCCGACCGCGTCCCCGACGTCCATTCCGACGAGCAGCCCGACCTCCAGTCCGACCTCGTCCCCAACGCCCAGCCCGACGCCGTCGCCGACTGAGGCCCCGACCTCCAGCCCGACCTCGTCTCCGACGCCCAGTCCGACGAGCAACCCGACAAGCAGCCCGACCTCCAGTCCGACCGCGTCCCCGACGTCCAGTCCGTCGAGCAGCCCGACAGCCAGCCCGACACCCAGCCCAACGTCTACACCAATGGCACCGCCCATCAGTGGCCCCATGGTCGCGGGCGTCGGCGACCCGCATCTCGCCAACACGCTCGGCCAGAAGTTTGACTTGCTTCAGGCTGGGTACCATACTTTGGTCCACATCCCTAGGTGGGCGCGGCAGCGTTCCAACTTCCTCGTGGAGGCGAGAGCGAGTCGCGCTGGGCTTGGATGCGCTGATTTGTATTTTACGGAGATCAACATCAGCGGCACGTGGGCTCGTCGTCACAAGGCAACGGGCCTGCGTTGGGACGCCGAGGCTACGAGGCCGGGCAAATCAACATGGATGACATTCCACAACGTGGTCAAGGTCAAGATCGTGCATGGCCGCACCGCCCAGAACACGAAGTACCTCAATATTTTCCTGAAGGGGCTGCATAAGACGAAGGTCCCAGTCGGTGGCCTCCTCGGGGAGGACGACCACACGGCGGCCGCCACCCCAGACAAGGGTTGCAAACGCATCATGACGTTGTGAGTCTTATCCCGCCCCAGGGCCGACGCCAGTAGACGCTGTGAGTAGTCTGCCGCCCCGGGGCAGACGCCAGTAGTAAAAGACATGGCTGGTGCTCAATGAATGCAAGCGGTTGTCATCTGGCCTTTGGCCAGTTGGGCGGCACAGTCCCTCTACGCATGTCTCCCCTCTTCCATGTTCCATTTGTCATGCGTTCTGCATCGTCTGCGGCGGATCCCCAGCCCATCCCAGAGTCGTCCACTCGCTGCGGACCCTCTCCGATGTCGCTGATGCGGTGACGTGGCCGCGCCTGGAGAGCGCATGCTGCTCCTTTTCCTCCTGTCTGTCAAAACCTGTGTCCTCGACCTCTGCCTCTTCCGCTTGCATCTTGTGTCTTTTGATCCGTGGGCCACCCCGCTCCGGAGGCGCGCGGGGAGCTCCGCCCGTGCCACTCCGTGCATCGATGTCCGCGCGTGGCTCCCTCCTCCTGGTGTTCCTCTGCCCTGCGCTTCTGGGCTGTGTCCAGATTTCGGACGAAGAGAACTATGCACATGCACCGATCTTGGCCTGGCCCATCCTGGGCCCAGGATCGGTGCATGTGCCCTCCTGGCCAAGGCAGGATGGCGTATGCACCGATCCTGGGCTCATGGTGGGCCTGGCCAGAATCGGTGTATGTGCATAGTTCTCTTTTCTCTAAGATTGTGGGGTGGGCTTTCAGGGTCTCCCTCGCGGCCACGGCTGGGCGCGGCTCGGAGGCCCGTCAGGGCGGCGGTCCGGGAGGAAGGCAGGGCAAGGCCAGAGACTGTGTGCACAAAAACGGCACATTAGTGTTGGAAGAGTTGGCCGCCACTGTGGCAGTACTCCTTCACAACGGCTTCCCACTCACTCTGCGGCCTGTGGCTCAACAATGAATTCTTGACGCTTCGCGTATCCCCACCAGCCCATCCAGTAACGATGCCCAGGCGAATGGAGGTGATCAGGGAAGTGAGGGAGCATACAGAGTAACCAAGGGCTGGGGAACCCGTCTTACCCAAGACGGCGAGGATGGAGGAGGAATCGGAGGAGGATGAGGAGGAGGAGGAACTGAAGGAGGAGGAGGGGGAGCGGGATGAGGGAGTTGGGAGGAGGAGCAATAGGCGGATGAGGAGGAGGAGGAGGAGGAGGAGGAGCAGGACGAGAATGAGGGGGAGGATGAGGAGAAGGGCGAGCAGAATGGCCAGAGGCCTCTTGGATGCCTCTCGGAGTCTCTTCGGATGTCTGTTGTGAGCGTCCTGAAGGCCTCTTAGGGCGTCTTGGGAGCGTCTTGGCGGTCCCGGAGGCCTCTTGGGGCGTCTTGGGTGCCTCGGGGAGCCTCTTGGGGACCTCTTGGGGCCATCTTGGGGTCATCTTGGGGCCATCTTGGCGCCTCTTGGGGCCTCCTGGGCGCCTCTTGGGGCCATCTTGGAGGCGATCGATCAAAGAAGAGGGTGGGGTTAATTAGCCCCGCCCCTCTAGATCCTCTAAAATCGCCTCTTGGGCTCATCTTGAGGCGCTCTTGGAGCGCTCTTGGGCGCTCTTGGGGCCGTCTTGAGGCTCTCTTAGGCCCCTCTTGGGGCTATCTTGGGCCCTCTTAGAGCCATCTTGAGGCCTCGGAAGGCCATCGGAAGCGAAAAGGCGAGAAAGCAAACTTCATTTGTTTTCCTTATTTGTTTAAAGGATTTTGGCCTCTTGGGGGGTCTCCTTGGAAGTCTCGGAGGCCTCTTGGAGTCGTCTTGGGGCGATCTTGGGGCCTCTTGGAGCATCTGGGGAGCCATCTTGAGGCATCTTGGGCTATCTCGAGGCATCTTGGAGGTCATCTTGGCCTCTCCGAGGCCCTCTTGGAGCCGTCTTGGGCCATCTTGGACGCTCCAACGCGTCGCGGAACCCCCCGTCCAGGTCCAGGGGAGGGGGTTAGGGGGAGGGGTAAACCCCTCCCCGAAGGGGAAGGAGGGAAGATGGAAGAGGAAACTCCCTAAACCACCGACGCCCAGAGGGCTGGTGGGATTCAACCTCTCTGCGCCACCAGCAGCTGCCAGTGCGTGCTTGAAAACGCCCTTCGCCCAACTCGTCTTAGGTCTGCCGCGGCGTCTTCGGCCCACCGGCTCTCTTGGCTGGAATGACAAACTCTCGGGGTCGAAAACGCTTTGCCTCACAATGTCGGTCGTGCTTCGCCGAGCCAGTGTCCCCATCCTTTTGAGCTGTCTCTCCAACAACATGCTGCTCATAGGTTGAACACCGGCTTGCTGTAGAACCGAGGCGCTGGTGACACGGCTGTAATAAGAGAACGGTATCTTCATGATTCTTCTAAGGCACCTGTTCTGAAACCCGTCGATCTTCCGGATCTCCGCCTTGGACAGCCACAGCGAATGCAGGCTGTACAAGACTTTACTGACAACGCAGGCGTTGAATATCTCCAATTTTCTAGCGCGAGATATTCCGGAGTGGGACCAGACGCGGCGTAGTGTTTCGAATTCTTCTCGTGCGGCTCCAATTCGGCGATTGAGCTCCGAGCCAGACGTCCCGTCCGACGTGATCGCGCAGCCCAGGTAAACAATTTTGCTTTTGGACTTGATTTCGTCGCCGGTCGGCACAGTGATGCTAGCGACGTCTGTTGAGGAGACGAGCTCCAGCTTCTTCCAATTGAAACTTAAACCGTAGACGCTGCCCGCTCGTCGCACGCAGTGGATGTACTTCTCTACGTTGCCAGTGTCGACGTCGATCAGAAGAGTGTCATCTGCATATAGGATATCATTGGCATGCGTCTTTGTAGAAAGCTGCGTTCCGGATGTTTTTGGGAGCTCCTTGGCGTCGGTAATGAGGACCGTCATGACCATGCTGAAAAGGTACGGGGACAACGGGCAATTGCTGCTGGCCTGATTGCTTGCCAGCGTCAGAGGCAGAGAGGCAACGATTCGCGTAGATCGCCTCGATGCACCGCAGGAACTTGGCTGGCAAACCGAATCCCCCCAACGATTGACATAATGCTTCTGGCGCGATCGAGTCAAAGGCCGTGGCCCAATCCAGGGCTAGAAGCACCAACCGCTTATCCTGCATTGCGCTTGCCTCCTCAACGATCCTGCGGATGAGGAAGACTGCGTCGAGGATGCCACGGCCAGGGCGAAATCCACACAGAGTGTCCCAAATGCGCTCGTCAGCACCAGCTTAAAGCAACCGCTGCAATAAAATTGATGCAAAAAGCTTGTATCCGACCTGCAGAAGTGAAACAGGCCTGCAATTCCCGCAATCGGCAACATCGCCCTCCTTGAGAATCATGGCGACGCGCGCCTCGTGCCATTTCTCTGGTACTGCTCCGTGTGACCAACATATCCGGCAGAGTTCCAGAGCCCACCGGCATGCTTTAGTTCCCCTTTTGCAAACTTGCTTCCAGAATTCCGCTGGGGGCAGGTCGTCGCTCCCGGCTGCCCTGCGGATCTCGAGTCTTGCCGCCGTTTTCACGACCTCACTCTCGGATATGTCGCGCAGATCGACGTCGAGCTCCGGGCCCAGGCAGGTGTCGGCAAGAACCGGCTCCAGAGGCCGCACTGCCCATTGGACTTTCTCCACGTACTCGGCCAGCGTCTCTGCCTGGTCTTCTGAGCTGACAAAGCGACCCAGCATGTTCTTTAGCCGCCCTTGTCGGTGATGTACGCCTTTATGTAAATCTTTGACTTGGTCCCACGGCCCTTTTTCCAGCAGAGATGTGAGCCATTGGTCCCTATCTTTCTTGATGGACCGTTTTACCTCAGTGTTCAAAGCTCGCTCACGAAGCAAATTGCCATTGCGCCTTGCCCCTGACCTGCTGTCAATTAGCCCCAGCGTGCGTCCGCTGATCCACGCTTGGTGAGGGATGGCCTGCACAGCCAGCAACGTCTCCTCTGCAGCGTGGAGCATACATGTCGTAATGCGCGAACTGAGCCAGTTTCGATCCTGAGCGTCTGCGTCTCGATCCTCCTCGTCCTTCTCCTCTGCCTCCATCAAGTGCTCAAAGCGCGAACGGAAAGCGGATTCAACCTCCTTGTCGTTTAAGTTGTTCTTGTCGGGCCTAGGGCCTCGAGTCTGCGGTGTTCTCTTCGCTAATGTGATGTCCATCTCTGAAGTTACGAGGAAATGGTGCGAAGGAAGTGCCAGGCCCTTATGAGAGCTCACCGCGCGCACCAAGTGAAGGCTGCTCTGCGGAACAAGTACAAAGTCCAGCTGCCCAAAATGCTTGAAGTCCAGAGTATCATGTAGGCGCGACCCCACGTTATAATTAGCACGTGATTTGGTTCTCTGGCGCCGATGCGAAAAACGTGTTGCCCACGGCCAGCGTCGACGCAGCGCAAAGCTCCATCAAAAGACTTCGATTCGAATCGGTGCTGTGCACTGCCATCGGGTTCCCAAAAATATGCTCTCCTAGAATGCCATCTTCGCCAGGCTGTCGCAGGTGAAGTCTAGCATTGAAATCTCCACATGCCACCTTGGGGCCATTCCCACTAGCAGAGGAAAGGAAGCTGGACAGCTCGGAGTAGAAATTGAATCGCTCTTCGTACGGTTTGCCGTTGTGCGGCGCATAGATGGAGAAGACTGGAACGCTGTCGCCAGGCACCCTCAACTTCAGCGACGCCATCCTCGGGCTTTTTTTGACAGAACCCAACGACGCTGTGGCGCAAGTGCGGGGCAACCAGAAAGCCAACCCCCGCTATTTCAACAGTCTCTGTCTCAGAGGAGCCTGAAAGAACCACCAAACATCCACCGTCTGTAACGAATACGTCTGACTTCGTCTTGTGAGTCTCCTGAATGCATAACAAATCAACCCCCGTATTTGCCATGAACTGCTGTAGCGTGATCAGCTTCTCCTATGTGAGCCCCTCCATGTTCCAAAGTGCGGCGACAAGTCGATCGGAAGTTGGTCGTAACGCACCGCCTTTGAAAAATGCAGCCTCATAGCGCTGGCTGTCATTCACTATACGTTGGTTCCTGGATAGCCGACCTCGGGGTGAAACATCATAATTTCCCATACTGATGTGCCCAAGGCCCTAGCGGGCCTTACCTTCAGCATCGTTGGCAGTGTTCGCTGGGCTGCTTTTCATGCCGCTCTTCATGCCCTTGGAGGCCTTCTGGACAAGGTCATTGAACTTCTCCTTTGACCCTGGAGCTCTCGTGAAGCTCCTCCCAGTCGGCCCACTCCCCGTGCCACTCCTGCACCACCTTGTCTGGGAAGATGTACGCCGTAGGCGATGCTTAAGAAAACTTAAGTTTTCGGCCAGAGTCCCGATTATTCTTAATGCTTCAATGTAAGTCCTAAGGTTTCAATAGAAATTCTGGGTCTTTATTCAAATTCTGAGACTCTGAGTTTCTTAACCCATGATTTCTTAAGCATTTCGCAGGGTGCACGCCGTCACTGCCTTCTCCCCCCCGACCTCTACAGTGCAGGGGGCCTCGCCGCTCACCGAAACCTTGCAGGGGATGTCCTGCACCTTAGGCGATGCTTAAGAAAACTTAAATTTTCGGCCAGAGTCTCGATTATTCTTCATGTTTCAATGTAAATCCTAAGATCTGAATGGAAATTTTGGGTTTGTATTCAAGTTCTGAGACTATGAATTTCTGAACCCATGATTTCTAAAGCATTTCGCAGGGTGTACTCCTTTTGCAGCACGTGTGTAAGTCCCAAGCACAAATTCCTGGCGGCCCTCTCCAAGAGGGGGCGGTCCTGGTTGGCCCAAATGTTCTTCCCCCCGACGTCAGCCCAGCCTTTTTCAAAACATCCGCTGCTGTATCCCGCTGGCCCGAGTCCCGGAATTCTGCGAACATCACTCCGCCGAAAGTCCACCTTCGAGTGAATCTTGGACGGGCTTGGGCCTGTCAGCGATGAGAGTTTATCCTGAAGCCACGTGCTGGCAGCGTCGAGGGAGTCGAGCGAGTCGAGGTGTCCCACTACTGCTGTAATACTGCGTTTATCTCCCGACCCCTCACCCGTCATGCTGTTCCCAACCGAGGCCGTCTGGGGGGGCGCGTGGAAGGTGCCAACCTTGTCGGAAATCCTGTTTGACGAGGTTCTCCAACTTTTCGATTCGGACCTCGGCTGCGTCAAGGCGCTTCTCGACAGAATTGAGGCGGAGCTCCACCGCGTCCGTGAGGCTGTTAACCCTCCGGGAGAAGAGGTGAGAAAGGAGAATCTGTAACCGAGCACTTGATGCGCGGTTTCTTCAGGAACGGCTTATTCAACAACTTGCCCACAGGTGTGCCTGGTGCTCGAGACGACGACGCTGCGAGTGCATCCGACGCCGATCCAACCTCCTGCTGCGGAGAAGAAATGACATGTGTCTCCGGCATGGCGGCGTCGTGAAGGTAGGGGTATGGGAAAGGATAGGTAGAAATGGACAGGCAGGACTTGAGAATTTGAGCCACTTGAGCCAAAATGGCTTGAGCCGGGATGCGAAAAGGCCCAAGATGACCACAGGGAGAAATGGGAGAGCTTGCGACGGCCTTGGGCGGGGGGCGGTCGTCCCTTGGCACGCGCCGACGGGGTCGACGGCGGGCTCCTCCCTCGTGGCCGCGGCTGGGCGCGGCCTGGGCAGCTGGTCGGGGCGGCGGTCCTCGAACGGGGGTCCGGAGACCGATCTCGAGCGGCAGGTTGCCTTCCCGGCCCAGCGCACGCGGGGTAGCCGTGGCGGCCCGCACTCTTCTCCCTCCCAGGGGCCCCGGCGTCGGGCCGCGGGGCCGTCAGACATGCGGCTCGGGGCCTGCAGGGCCGCAGTTCAAGGGAGGAAGAACTGCCCCGACCTCCACAGTTGGCGTTTGCCGAACGGCCCTGGGCGTTTACGAAACAGCCCCGCCCTGTTCGATTCGTTGGCTTACGCCGCACCGCCGACCGATTGGGGCGGTGCGGGGTGCGTCGTTTGGGGCCTCTTGGTCCGAGTCGGGGTGCTCTCGGGTGCCTCTTGGACCGTCGTCGACGCTGACCATGGCAGTCGAGTCGCACATACTACGAAAATCGAAGGGTCTTTCAGGGAAATCAATTATTTTGGCCTCTGGGGGCCTTCCTGGGAGGCCTCATCCACGCCGTTTCGGCTGTAGTGTGGCCCTCTTGGGGGCCGCTTGGGGGCCCCCTGGGGGCTGCTCGGGGCCGGATGCTCGAAATGGCCATTGCGGTTCTCCCTCTGGGCCTCCTCCTGGGGCCGTCCTGGGGCTCTCTGGGCCGTCTTTGGAGGCTTCTGGGGCCGTCTTGGGGCCCTCTTGGGCGGTCTTGGAGCCCTGTTGGGAGCCTCTTGGGCTGTCTTGGGTCGATCTTGAAGGCTTCTTGGGCCGTGGGTAACCTCGTCGAAGCCCAACAGGCGAACGTGCTAAAAGTGCATGTTTTCTTTAGGGCATGGCGCGATTTTTGCTCTTTGAAAGTTTGTTGGAGCGCCTCGTGGCGGCTCCTTGGAGCGTCCTGGGAGCCTCCGGGACCGTCTGAGCGCATTTTTGCATTGCAGGCCAGGGCCGGCGCCGCTATCTTGGGGAATTTCTGGAATTTTCTGATTTTTTTGGAATGTCTGGAATTTCTGGGTTCTTTCTTTGAAGTGTGCGTTGAGAATGCTGCTTAGGAGTGTTACAGTTTTACACATTCCACGAAACTCCTAGAAATTCCAGAATTTCCAGACATTCCAGACATTCCAGAATTTCAAGAAATTCAAAAATTCTAGAAATTCCAGACATTCCAGAAATTCCAGAAATTCCAGAAATGCCAGAAATCCCAGACATTCCAAACATTCCAGACATGCCAGAAATTCCAGAGGTTCCAGAAATTCCAGAATATCCAGAAATTTTCCGACATTCCAGACATTCCCAAAATCCAACAAATATTTAGAAAATTGCTGGAATAGAGAAAGTGCGTGGTGAGTGGCGCATTATGAGTAGTGCGTTGTGAGTATATCTGAGTAGTGCGTTCTGAGTACATCCAGAAAATCCCGACATTCCGAACATCGAAAATCCCCGGAGTTTGACAAATCCAGAGGGTCCTCAGAAAAGCAGGGCCGTGAGTAGAGAGTAGGGGATACGGAGTGAGTCGTTGTCCGCGAGTAGAGAGTAGGGGATAGGGAGTGGGGGGGAGGGAGTAGTGATTCGTGAGTCGCGGGTCGTGAGTAGTGAGTTTGTAGTTCTCAGTAGGAAGTGGCGAGTAGCGAGAAGGGAGTAGCGAGCAGCGAGTTGCGAGTAGCGAGTTGCGAGTAGGGAGAAGGGAGTAGCGAGTTGCGAGTATCGAGTTGCGAGCAGGGAGAAGGGAGTAGGGAGCCAGGAGTAGCGAGTAGCGAGTAGCGAGCAGCGAGTAATGCCTGGCTCTAAGGAATTCCTCAGAATAGCGGCGCCGCCCTGGCCTTGTCACTAGGGTGTAGTGAGTGCTGAGTAATGAATACTGAGTAGTGAGTCGTGAGTGGTGCGCATAGTGTGGTGCGTAGAGGGTGGTGGGGTAGGAATCGGGTTCCGGAGCCAGGGGGCCCCCTTTTAAAAGGGAGGGGGAGGGCCTAAGATGCCCCCCGGGACGGGCCCACGAGGATTCCAAGACTGCCCCACGCTTCCCAAACGCCCAAGATGGTCCCCAGACGGCCAGAAGTCGATTCGGAGGAGGAGGAGGAGGAGAAGGAGGATGAGGAGGAGGAAGAGGAGGAGGAGGAGGAGGAGGAGGAGAGGAGGAGAAGGAAAAGGAGGAAGAGGAGGTGATGAGAGGATGAGGATGAGGAGTCGGGGGATGAGAGTTCAAGGGATTTGGAGAAGGAGGGAGGAGAGGAGGAGGAGGAGGAGGGAGGAGGAGGAGGAGGAGGAGGCGGAGAGGAGGGACAAGGAGGAGGAGGATGATGGTCCTCGTCGTCGCCGTCAGTCGTCGTCGCCGTCGCCGTCGCCGCCGCCGCCACTCCCTCTCTCGCGCGCGCCGCTCCCGAGGGAAGTGTGTGAGGAGGAAAAGGACGACGACGACGACGACCGGCGACGACGACGACGACGACGACCGACGACGACGACGACCACGACGACGAGGACGCAAAAGAGGACGAGGATGAGGAGGATGAGGATGAGGAGGATGAAGATGAGGAGGAGGACGGTCGCCGTCGTCGTCGTCGTCGCCGTCGTCGTCGTCGTCGTCGTCGTCGCCGTCGCCGTCGCCGTCGCCGTCGCCGTCGCCGTCGTCGCCGTCGCCGTCGTCGTCGTCGTCGTCGTCGTCGTCGCCGTCCGTCGTCGTCGTCGTCGTCGTCGTCGTCGTCGTCGTCGTCGCCCCGCCCCGTCCGCCCCGCGCGCGCGGGCGCGTGCTTGCGCGGCCGGGCCGGTGCAGGATGATGATGGTGATGAGGAGGAGGAGGAGGAGGAGAAGGACGAGGAAGAATGAGAAAGACGACGGTGCTTATGATGATGATGATGATGATGATGATGATGGTGATGATGATGATGACGATAATGATGATGATGCTGATGATGATGGCGATGACGATGATGATGATGATGATGATGATGATGATCATTATCATCATCATCACCATCATCATCGTCATCATAAGCATCCTCGTCTCTATAATCCTTCCTCGTCCTTCTCCTCCTTCTACTCCTCCTCCTCCTCATCACCATCATCATCCTGCACCGGCCCGGCCGCGCAAGCACGCG